AAACAACCGGAGACAGAGACTAGTCATAGACACATAGAATGACTCTAACTAAATAAAGAAAAACACGTCTATGGGATCACGTGATTTTTCACATTTTCTTAGTGTGCCGTTCAAAATTTCGCGGCACACTTAGGAAGATCTCGCGGCACACCTGTGTGCCACGGCACACTGGTTGAGAATCACTGCGTTAACGTCTGTCATTGACTCCATGTGTCAACGTCACAGAAAAAAACTAACCAACCTCTGAAGTCTCGTATCCTTCCGCCTCAAAATCATAAATATTCACCCAATCCTGGCAGAAAATGCATATTAAAACCTTCTCCTTCGATTCTAGAACCAAAAGTCAACAAAAACTGCCATGCACAAGGGGGAAAACGGAAGGGGAGAGAAAAACTAAAAATATATTTGGCCCTTTTTTCAATCGTCTTTTCACTACGGATCGATTTTGTGTGACGTCAGCGCGTGAAGTCGGTGACAAGCGTTAACGAACGAAAATAATGCAAATATTGGAAACAAGTGGCTATGATATCGTTTTGTGGGGCGTATTTATGGAAATCAAAACGGCTAGATTGAAAAAAAAAACATAGAGTGAATCGACAGAGGTTAGATTGCCCGACATTACGAATTGTTAAAAAACGAGGCGAAGCGAGAGAAGGTAAAATCGAGGCTTCAGCAAGCATTGCATTCCTGTTCTTTTTTTTATTATATATATATATTGTCTAGTTGACTATGGTGTATGCATATATATCCGGATAGAAGGTAAGATTCCTGTGAATAAACATGCAACTCCACTGAGGAGAATAGATCACAAGATTTTTAAAACGTTATGGCCTCACAAGAGACACTGATCCTGTCCCACCTATGACTTTTGACCATTAGTAATACCAATCTTGTCGGTCGACATTCAGGTGCGCGACTCTTATTTCGAATTCCAACTGTCGGGGGTTCTTTTACGTTAACACCAATGTCCCACCCGAACGACTAAAAACTATCCTTGGCAGCCCCCGTTCTGCTCCACTGAGAAGGGGAAACCGAAGTATAGCTAACCGGGTGTGGACACGGTGCTTGACAAGGCATATACTGTATTTGGGCGTGGTCCGCCTCTCTTCTCATACGCGGTAATTAGTCGACATGTTTGTTCCACAAATTCAAAACAAGTATGGCGACTAATTAGGACGTTAGCTTTTTTTATACGCCGACATTTTCATATGGACGTATATTGTCGTCGCCCCTGTCCGTCCGTCCACATTTGTTTGTGAACACTCTACAGGTCACAATTTTTATCCGATTTCAATGAAACTTTAAATGTAGGTTTATCATCCTAAGATCTCGGTTCCTGTCGATATTGGCATGTATCGGACTGTAACTTCATGGATTATGGTCCCTGATTGTACGAAAAATCACGCTTTTAGCTTGTGAACACTGTAGAGGTCACAATGTTGATCCAATTTGGTTTGAACTTGAAATGTATGTTTATAACCCACAGATCTCGGTTCCTTTCGATATTCGCGCATATCGGACCATAACGTCCTGAATTATGGCCCCTGATTGTACGAAAAATCGCATTTTTCGCTTGTGGACACTATAGAGGTCACAATTTTTATCCAATTTAAAAAAAGCGTTGAGTTCGAATTTCGTAAAAATCGGACTGAATTATGGCCCCTGATTGTACGAAAAATTGCGTTTTTAGCTTGTGGTCCCTCTAGGAGTCACACTTATTATCCGATTTACAAAAACCTTCGAATATATCACCGTTACACCGTAATGTTTGTTGAGTTCGAATTTCGTGGAAATCGGGCCAAAATTGCCGGACAAAATGCCCCCCCCCCCCCCTCGTACGCATATCGGATCATAGCTTCCTGAATTTCGTGGAAATCGGGCCAAAACTGCCGGACAAAATGCCCCCCCCCCCTCGTACGCATATCGGATCATAGCTTCCTGAATATATCACCTTACACCCTAAGGATGGTTGAGTTCGAATTTCGTAAAAATCGGACTGAATTATGGCCCCTGATTGTACGAAAAATTGCGTTTTTAGCTTGTGGTCCCTCTAGGAGTCACACTTATTATCCGATTTACAAAAACCTTCGAATATATCACCGTTACACCGTAATGTTTGTTGAGTTCGAATTTCGTGGAAATCGGGCCAAAACTGCCGGACAAAATGCCCCCCCCCCCTCGTACGCATATCGGATCATAGCTTCCTGAATTATGGCCCTTGATTGACCCTGTAGAGGTCAAATTTTTTTTTTCGGATTTAAAAAAAAACGTGTGAATATATCACCATTACACACTAAGATCTTGGTTCTTTTAGATAATCGCGGATACCCGGACTTAACTTCCTGGATTATGGCCCCTGATTAGCCGAAAAATCGCATTTTTAGCTTGTGTATTCTCTAGAGGTCACAATTTTTTTTAGATTTTAAAAACCGTTTAAATACATCACCATTCACCCATAATGAAGGATGAATTCGAATTTCGGGAAAAGCGAAATAAAACTGCCCGACAAAATGGCCATTCTTTGTCCGCAAATTGTGTAGAAGTGTGTAATACGAAGGTTGTGGACCCTCTAGAGGTCACAATTTTTATCCGATTTTGATGAAACTTAAAACTTATCTTTATATCCCAAAGATCCCAGTCCCTTTTGATATTTGCACATTTCAGGCCATAACTTTCTGGATTATTGACACTTGTTCTCTATCCATCTCTTGCAAAATGTGGGCGTATCCTGCCTGGCAGTTGCTGGTTATTCAATTAGTTCTGTAGTTTTGTAGTTGGAGTTCAGCTTAAACCGATTGCTTGCGAATTGATCACAACAGTATATAAAATATTATTATCAACATTTAGGATGCTTGAAACCATAAGCTATAGATTTTGACGGAACATCAAATATAGGTTTATCTCCAAAAGATCTCGGTTCCTATCGATAATGGCATGTATCGGACAGTGAATTATAGTCCCTGATTGTGTGAAAAATCACGTTTTAAGCTTGTGGACACTTTAGATGAAACTTGAAATATAGCTTTATTACCCAAAGATCTCGGTCCCTTTCGATATTCTCACGTATTGGATCGTAACTTCCCGATTTATGGCCCCTGTACGAAAAAATCGGGAGTTTAACTTGTTGACCCACTAGAGGTCACAATTTTTTATCCGATTTTAAAAACCATTTAAGTATGTCACCGTTACACCCCAATGACGGTTGAGTTTCGAATTTCGTGAAAATCGGATGGACACTGCGCTAAAAAATGGCCGCTTCTTGAACGAAATTAGTGTAAAAGTTTGCAATACCGAGGTCGGAATTTTTATCCTAATTTGATGAAACCTAAAATATATGTTTAAATCCCAAAGATCTCGGTTCCTTTCGATATTCGCGCATATCGGAAAGTAAATTGCATATTTTATGAGATAAAAATCATTCACACATATTTCAGAATATTATTATGTTATAAAACACATCTGGGGGTACAAATAAACAGAGAATGGACTAGCTTGTGTGAAAAAGGGAGCAGAATTGTCAGTTTATTGGTCATATAAAGATATAATTGAAAATTTAAACTTTAAATGGCCGTAACAAATGAATATGGTTGTGTATAAACTTAATATTTTAACGCTATTTTTCGGCATGTTGGGGCTATAATTGACGTACATCGAATTATATATTATACGTGTTTAAAATATATTAGGTACGTGAACTTTGCCAATAAGTGTGGGTTGGGTTATTTGTAGTAATAATATACAATCAATTTAATCCAAGCAACAGAGTTCGACATACTTCTGACACACCCCAACAAAGTCAAAACAACCTGCACTTATACTGCATGCATGTATAGAAACTTTATCTTGTGAATAATGTACATAAGAAATATTAAGAAGTAATCAGAGACCATAAGTCCATGCTGCCACCCTTGTCATAATGGAGATCATTCTACGTTCTTGATAGCGGTATGATCAAAAAATAGCGAAACGGCAAACATATATAAATTAAATTTACTTGTATTCATCATCAACAGCAGCAGCATCAACGCCATTGTTATCATCACCACTGCATTTAAATAACCACTCCTCTTCCAAAGTAAGTTTATTAACTTTTGTTTGTGGTTGGCTTCTGTATTTCTTTACAGTATGTCTCCTTCCGGCAAGAACTGGAAAATGTCGAGCAGCATTTCGCAGATATTTTTTCAACGCCACAGCTGGCTCATGTCAACAGTTTATATATGGTGGTTGTGATGGCAATGCCAATAAGTTTAGAAGTTTAAGTGATTGCCAGACTACTTGTGATGCAGAATCTTTAGGTATATTAACTGTAAGCTGACTTGGCTCTGTGTCGTCCAATGGTGTTGCCATTACTGTATTCTTTAAGTGTATCTATCTCTTTGTCTTTCAATGTTGTTACACTTGCTGTATACTTTAAACTGATCTATCCCTGTGTTCCAATGTTGTTGCAATAGCTGCATACTTTAAGGTGATCCATCTGTGTGTTGCAATTGGTGTATACTGTAAGCTGATCGTTCTGCCAGGCTCTTGTGATGCAGAATCTTTAGGTATAAAGGTATACTGCAAGCTGACTTGTCTCTGTGTCTTCCAATGGTGTTGCCATTACTGTATTCTTTAAGTGTATCTATCTCTTTGTCTTCCAATGTTGTTACACTTGCTGTATACTTTAAGCTGATCCATCTCTGTGTGTACCAATGTTGTTGCACGTGCTGTATACTTTAAGCTAACCCATCTCTGTGTCTATCAGTGTTGTTGCAATTGATGTATACTTTAAGCTGATCTATCTCCGTGTATTCCAATGTTGTTGCAATTGCTGTATACTTTAAGCTGATCGTTCTGCGTGTGTTCCAATGTGTTGCAATTGCTGTATACTTTAAAGCTGATCTATCCTTGTCAGATTATTGAAATGCACCCCCACCCGTCCGTTCGTCCCGACTTTTCTTCCGTTTACATATTAAGAACCCTTCAAAAGGTACACACATTAAGATTTGTGCCGTTTGAAAATGGGAAAATTCCAAGAAAGTAAATTTGGCCGAGTGATTTTGTGTTTACATCGACTTTGGTTTCGGTATGCAATCAATTTTCCTAAGCTTATTAAAATAATGTTATGAAACTTTGTACACGTATACACGGTTCTGTAATTATTCCGAAATGCCAGGGTGTTCGGATCCAGCTGAAATATAATCAAAGAAGAAGATCCACAAACGGGATGATTTCTACACTATCCTATGGTAAATCTTCATTCAATAATTTGCATACGCACAAGAGTCTTTAGCAGTGGGATGAATCCGGAGAAACCACACAGTTAAGGAAGGAAGGTGGTTTTCGGTCTTGCAGCACTTGATCGACCTTATTATCAAACGCCCACTATATCCAACCCACACTCTGGATAATAAGCCTATGGAATAATGGATAATAAGGAATTCGACAGTGTAATGCTCACTTATGCATGTACTGTAGTAATTCTGTTCATAATTCCACTCGCTCCTGCTTATATCTTCTTGTAAATTGCCATTTTACCAATGTTCTTTATTATTGAATCCTCTCGTTCTTGATTATTGTTGCTGGTTTTTCACTGTTCTGCTATGTGTCGATTATGTTGTTGCAAGTCCAATTCTTTCCATTTTTTAAAAAGAAAAGGTGAGTTCTATTGCTCCTATAAACGTTAGGTACAATCTATCCACATCAATGGTCAAACTGAAACCACATGTGACAATGGGAAGTTCTACAAGATGTTCCGAAATGGTAACCATTCCATACGTCGCGTGTGAAAGACCATTTGACCTTTGTAAACGTGCTATTCAAATAATATTCATCTCTATAATAATACTATAAACCTAATAATATTTGTATTTTCTTTCTTCCAGCCTGCCATCTACCGGTCGTAGCCGGAAAATGCCAAGCGTATTTCCACAGGTTTTACTTTAACAGTTCAACTCAATCGTGTAAAGAGTTTATTTATGGAGGTTGTGGAGGAAACAGCAATAATTTTAAAACTAAAACCGAATGCGAAATGACTTGTAAATCAGGTAGAATCTGTGTTATGTGTGTGTATAACTTGTGTTATGTGCATGTATAACCTGTGTTATACGTGTGTGTATTACCTGTTACAGTTTTTGTTTTTGATGTGCGTCTTGCCCAGTTTGTCTACAGATTATGTATTTAGTTGTCCAACTCTGTGGTCGAACTCTTTTGTCTAACTCTCTAACTCTGTTGTCAAGCTCTCTGACTATGTTGTCTAACTCTGTTGCCTAACCCGCTAACTCTGTTGTCTAACTCTCTAACTATGTTGCCAAACTAGCTAAGGGGGGGATCACGTGGCTAATTGGGTAAGACGCTGTCTCGCTAGCCTGGAGGTCGGGTGTTCGATCCCTGCATTGGCCGAGAAAGTTCATTCAGATTTTCCGGCGTGGTTTCCCCTTGCCAGTGATGCAGGACGGAGGGCCTGGCAAGGATAGCTGTCTAGTCTTTCGGATGGGACGAAAAACCGAGGTCCCATGTATACATTGGCGTGCACGTAAAAGATCCCTTAGCAGTTGGAATTCGATATAAGAGTAGGCCGTAGCGCGGCTGCCCGGGCAAAATTTCCCTCATAGCACACTGTATGGCGTATGCCTGTCTTCATTAGCCCAGGTTAGGAGCAGAACAGTAGGACGTTAAACCCCATTTCATTTCATTTCATGTTCTGTTGTCTGTGGATGTTCAACAAATTCATACGTATACATCCCGGATTGTCTTTATCTTGATTTTTTAGTTCATAGGCACACTTTTTTTGCCTCGCTAGACAATTAAAAACTCACACGAAAAGGACCAATTGCCCTAATTCATAACATTTTAGTATATATTTTGTTATATTTTATTCTAGTTACTTTTATTTTGAAATCTTGTGAAAAGAATTGGGCATTTGAATTTGCATAGACGTGAGCAGTCTTGTTTACGTTTTAAATGTTTAAGTGTGTTATTTTAAAGTTTTACCTGTTCGTGTGGTCTTCGTTTTACAAGCCCTTATGTTTCGCCTTGAATGTGTTTGTGTTATTTTAGTTTTGTATGCCTTGTTCTTCGTTTTCGTGTGTATTTTCTTAGAATGTCCATGTTTGTCGTCTTTGTGTAATTCGTTTCGTCACACATCGCTATACGTCAATGGGTGTTTCCTTATAGTTTTTCATTTCCATATCTTTTAGATTTGCACTTTTACGTGTGTTGTATTATTGTTCTGTATAGCCATAATGTGTTTTCGTTTACTTTGTATAAGATTTGCATGTCTACGTGACCTCTTTTAGTTTAATGTATGTCCATGTGTTTTAAATATCCGTGTTTGTGTCTTCTTATCTGACTTCTGGGCCATGTGCGTTTTCCATGTTTAACTTTTGTGTGTGTCTTTTTCCTTCTAGTTGAACACACTTTTTCTTTGTTTGGTATGGCTTTAGGTTCGAACTCCACTTCTTCGACCTTTCTTGTAATTGTCTCGTATCGTTGAGCTCTGTATGGGTTATGTACTTTGTAGGTGTTCTACGAAAGTGTATGCGATGTCTCGTTCTTTCTTTTGTGACGTACATGTATAATTGTAAACTAGCATATTATATTTATGTAGTTGTCTTCAATTTGTAATATGATAATTTGGTTGGTGGAAAAATGATGGCTTTAGAATGACCCATTGCTTCGACACCACAATTATCAAGCTCCATGAGGACTCGGGGGCAACAACTTAACAGCCATAATTAACACGCGGGACGGTAATACTGTATAGACTCTGTGTAAATATGTTTATGTTATGCTTAAGTATTCATTTTATAATTTTTCCGCCAAATCATTTGTCTAATATCCATATTCATTCTTTTATTTGGACGAGAGTTCATATAGGCTATATCTGTACGTCAATCCGTTTCATTTTTTGAATAAAATATTGGTTTTTATTTTTAAAAAAAAAAAAAGAATTCATCAAATCGTATTTTCAGTATGCCAGCGGCCATTGATTGCAGGTGATTGTGACCAGGAAATACCAAGTTATGGCTGGAACATGGAAAGTGGCAACTGTGAATATTTTATTTATTCTGGATGTGGTGGAAATGGAAATAAATTCCAGTCACAAAGGGATTGCTTGGAGATGTGTGGACCCCCGAGAGGTAGCGTATACGTACCAGAACTCGTATTTAACATAATTTGGCCAAACAGCCATAAATATCAGTAATTTTGTTTTAAATAGAAACAGGTGTGGGTGGGCGGGGTGCTAGGGGTAAATGAGTCCAAGAATGTGAGATCGATTTTATATCCAGTTACATCGACACTCTATGAAATCAAACTGGTGATTTTCACAGGAAAATTGTTAAAATAACATCTGTGGACCATTTCGGATATTCATAAAATTCATTAATCAAGTTCTACGTTGACTTTTAACTAACGGTTTTGTATCCCTCCTTTGCGGACATGTAGCTTACAAAACTATAAACGTATCTCAAAATTTTGGTAATTCTTACATTTCCTAAGCTGTAAGTTCACATTTCAGCATGTCAACAGGACCCGAGTGAAGGAACTTGTGGTGAAAATCTGCCAAGGTTTTTCTACAACCAAACAGCCAAAGCGTGTGAAGAGTTTCAGTACAGTGGTTGTGAGGCAAATGACAATAATTTCAGGACACTCTGGGATTGCGAAGAGAGATGTTTAGCTGCACATTCAAGTAAGTACTAGAAATCGAAAAGTCAGACATAAATGATCAAACCGGTTGTCCTTAGATATGACACACGCAGTTCCTTGAGCAGTAATAACGTGATTAAAAGAATGGAATAGATGAAAGCATAGGCTTACATTTCGTATTATTACACAAAATTTGCTACTTCTTTGCCCTTTGTGCTGCATATAGCACCCTATTGCACTCTTTTTTGAAAACAACAGTAAGTCGTCAAATCTTATCCCGAGACTTATGCCTGCAGCCAGAATTTCTAACGTAAAGTTCCTCTACATGGTCCTCGAAGTTAAACAAACTATACAATTTTGGAAAGCTTATAAAACACCAGGCACACAAATCCGAGAGTTCCAAGACAATATTTTGCAATTACTTGATTTCTGAAATTGTGGGAAGATGTTTAGCTTCGAGGAACAGTTGCGGAATTGTGTTTCTAAGCAAGCTAGAAATTTTGGTTGCAGGCTTAACCAATAACGACTAGATCTGACACTCTTCTCGTTAATTTTGGAAACTCACAATATCTCGTATTCGGGACAATAACTTAGCTGTCCTGATAACCCCAGTAATTTACCTTGTGTCGGTGTTTATCAGCTTGATGCTTGTCCAGATAACACATTGATTTACTTTTAGTTTGTCATTTGGAACCGGAAAAGGGAATATGTGATGGAAAGGTACCAAGATTTTATTACGATCCCAGTAAAAAGAAGTGTTTGAAGTTTTTCTACGGCGGTTGTGAAGGAAATGAAAATAATTTTAAAGAACTGCAGGATTGTGAGGAAGAGTGCGGCGGTAAATAAAACGCTGTGAATTAGAACTGGGTGGTTCATGAACATGATTAATGTTTTTAATAAACAGTGAACATGTTTAATGTTTTCATACACCCACAATTACATGTGGACGTTAAGTTATCGTCGCCCCTGTCCGTCCGGCGTCCGTACGTCCACAATTTGTTTGTGGACTCTCTACAGGTCACAATTCTTATCCGATTTTGACGAAACTTGAAATATAGGTTTATATCCAAACGATATTATCATGTATCGGATCGAAACTTGATGGATTGTGGCCCCTGATTCTACGAAAAATCACTTTTTTAGCTTGTGGACACTCTAGAGGTCACAATTTTCATCTGATTTTTGATGAAACTTGAAATGCTTGTTTATAACCCAAGGAACTTAGTTCCTTTCAATATTTGTGAATATCGGATTGTAACTTCCTGAATTATGGCTCCTGATTGTACGAAAAATTACTTTTTAGCTTGTGGTCCCTCTAGAGGTCAAAATTACTATCAGATTTAATAACCGTTCGAATATCTCCGTTATGACGGTTGAGTTCGAATTTCGTGAAAATCGTACCAAAACTGCTGGATAAAATGTCCGCCCCCCGTACGCAAATAATGTAAAATATGGTATATCAAGGTTGTGGACCTTCTAGAGGACACAATTTTTATCCAATTTTGATGAAATTTGAAATACATGTTTATAACCCAAAGATCTTGATTTCTTTCGATATTCACGCATATCAGAACGTAATTCAATTTTTAAAAATACCACCGTTACACATCAATGAGTTCGAATTTCGTAAACATCTTACCCAAACTGCAGGACAAAATAGCCACTCCTTGTACGCAAATAGTGTTAAAGTATGTAACATCAAGGCTCTGGACACTCTAGAAGTCACAATTTTATCTGATTTTGATGAAACTTGAAATGTGTGATTATAATCCAAAGATCTTGGTTCCTTTCGATATTTGCGCATATCGGACCGTAGATTCCTGGCCCCTGATTGTACGAAAAATCACGTATTTAGCTTTTTATCTGATTTTAAAAAGCGTTTAAATATATCACCGTTACACCCTTATAACGGTTGGGTTCGAATTTTGTGAAAATCGAACCGAAACTGCCTGACAAAATGGCCGCTTTTTGTACACAAATAGTGTAAAAGTATGTCCATTTCGATATTCGCGCATTTCAGACCATAACTTCCTGGATTATGGCCCCCGATTGTAAGAAAAATCGCTTTCTTTTATCTTGTTTTCTATCCATTTCTTGAAAAATGTGGGCGTATCTTGCCTGGCAACTACTGGTTAATAAACAATCTGCATGATACTTTTACCTTTTCTTGTGTTACTCTGAATTTTGACAGGTTTCCTCATAATTAGACCAGTCTAACAAAAGCCAGCAAGCATGGTAAATTAATAAAATATTAATAATGTGGAGCATATATAGCATTTAAAAAATTTCGCGAATAGAAGGTTAATACTTCCACATGGCGGCATGCAAACAATTCGCACCTGAACCAGTCAGTCGTGACAAGTTTGCAAACAACAAAGCCGTGGCCCCCATCTAGTATCTCATGAACAGTAAATTGGGCCTTCAAGGGAAGTTTATATTACCGCGTTTACCAGTCGGTATTTAATTGGGATAGGTAATCAAATATACTGTGTGATTTGATATGTTTGAATGATTTAAATCCCTATTAAAACATTTTTTTAATTCGCAAGAACACTATTCCAACCAATAAGAATCTATTTTAAGAAGCCTTATTTGTCTCTGTCGACTTGATGTAGGTAAAATTCATTTGAGCTTGTATTTGTCGTTACTCGATATACATTTACCATAAATATCGAAGGCTATAGGTCAATTCTCTTTTCTGTCGTTTCATCGCAGAGTCTGCTGTACGTTTAATTCTCTTTTAATAGAATTGTTCTTACGCCAATTAAGCAGACAACAAACCGACATGTTCTGATACCTTCACACTTTTGTCATGTTGGCGCCCCATCGGTGATTTTGATGAAACTTAAAATACATATTTATTTCCAACGGATATCAAATTGGTTCGATTTTGATGGGTAATGGTCACTGCCATTTAATCAATTTTTGTCTGATTCAGATGATACTAAGTACGTGTATCAAGGATCTTGGAGAAGTTAGATTTGCTACGCATCAGACGCGGCATATTGCATTATGGCCCTTGCTAAGGATCTAAAGACCTTTGCATCTGCTTTGGCTACGGCCCTTGCCGTTTACGCAAAATGTGACTTGTATGCAAAGTTTGTAGACCCTCTAGTGCCCACAATGATTTCCGATTTTGATGAAACTTGAAATGTATATTTAGGATCAATAAAATAGGACAATTTCGTGTGACCATCTTGAAAATGTCTGCCGTCTTGGATTTTCGAATGGTTCCGGGAGCTGGGCCCTTATTCACGAAAACTTAAACTAAGATACAATCGAAATTTTAAGAAATACTGCAATTCGATTGGCTGACCAGTAAAATCAATTTGCATATATCCAATTTGCATATTGGTCAGCCAATCGAATTGCAGTATTTCTTAAAATTTCGATTGTATCTTAGTTTAAGTTTTCGTGAATAAGGGCCCAGTATCTTAATATAAAATTGCAGTATTTCGATACAGCCCCATTTTATCACAAACCAAACAATCCTAACAAGTTTGAAAGGAATCTCACAAAAACTCCAAAGGGGACTTACAACACGTGTATACTTCCACATATGAAATAAGTTGCCGGGCGATTCCAATAGTGAATATTAAGGTACATAAAAGCGGAATGGTTATACTGTATATCATCGGCCTAAATTTCAAGCAGATCAGATATCTTTTGCAAATAATTTTAGAAGGTGAGAATGGACCTTAACGATGGGCTTAATCTGAATAATGCATATTTTATTAAAATTTTACGAAGTAATTGTTTAAATTTGATAGAATTTTCCGTTTCATTAATCTGAAATTCAAGCAGATTGGAAAATTATCTTTTGTTATTAGAGCGTTCACTAGTCGTATGTAACGGAAATTTATGAATTCAACGGGATTCTTCTTCTCACTTAAATTGTGGATGAGGGACGCAAGCGACAGCACTATCCGACCACATTAAATATTGGCGTATAAAGAGCCATGATTACAAATATACTGAGCGCCATGGAAAACGCATCACTTTTTTTCCCCCAAATATTTTATTACTAGGTGGTTTTTATACTATGAACTATTGTTTCACACAATGCTCCCAAACGCAAAAAATATCGGCCCGTGTGCAAAAAAAAAAATTGCACGAGATGCACATGAAAAACCCAATATTCACGTGCAGCATTGTGTGTGGGCCCTTTAAAAGCATGTTTTCAACTTAATGTGCAGTACATGAACTGTGAAACGTCAATCTGTCGTAATTTGTTGTTGGACGTGTGAAGGAATCGAGCTAGAGATGCCGAGACTTACTGAAAATCAACGGAATGAAGCCATGGGAATGTCCAGGGCTGGCATGTCTACACGTGCTATTGCCAGACACTTCAATTGTCATCAGTCCACTATTGTAAGGTTGGTGGAACGTGTTCGAGTTACTGGATCAACACGTGACCGTCAACGTCCTGGTGCACAACGCGTTACAACCCAGGCTCAAGACCGCTACATCCGAGCCACTCATCTGCGTGACAGATTCCGCCCAGCGACTCGAACAGGTACAGTAGTCGTCGGAAGACAAGGACCAGTAAGTGCCAGCACCGTAAGACGTCGTCTAAGAGAAGTAGGACTCCGTGCACGACGACCTTATGTTGGAGCTATCCTCAGGGATCATCACCGTCAGCAAAGTGTGCTCTTCAGTGATGAGAGTCGCTTTCATCTTTACCACGCTGATGGCCGTCAAAGTGTGTGGAGACGTCTTGGGGAACGTCTTGCAGACTGATGTGTCTTCGAAACGAATCGATGGGGTGGGGGAAGTGTAATGGTGTGGGGAGGCTTCACATTTTATCACCGGACCGCCCTACACATTTGCAGGGGTCGCGTTAATGCTGTAGCCTACCGTGATGATGTCTTGCAACCAATTGTTGTTCCGATGTTTCGAGCGCACTCACAACTTCAGCACTTCCAACAGGATAATGCACGTCCGCATACCGTCCGTTTTAGTATGGACTACCTGGCTGCTAACAACATCAATGTCTTGGACTGGCCACCCCTGTCGCCGGACATGGCACCGATAGAACATGTCTGGGATGAGATTGGACGCCGTATGTATCGGAGACCAAAGATGCACACCATTGCTGCTTTAGAAGCTGCTCTTGTCCAAGAATGGAACAATTTGCCCCAGGCCTTCTTTCAAACATTGGTAAATTCCATGCGACGTCGCTGCACAGCGTGCGTAAGAGCCCGTGGAGGACACACGCGCTACTGACATCCGTGTCGTACTTTTGGTTTTGACCCCTCTGACTTTGTACCGTTGATTACAGATTAAACATCCATAAGTGTAAAAATGTGTTGTTATTGATGTGTTCCCATTTGAATATTGTTCACAATAAGAAGCAAAATAAATAAGATATGTTTACAGGATCATTTTGTTATACGAAAAACTAAGTGATGCGTTTTCCATGGCGCTCAGTATATTGTAGTAAGGCGTGAGCTCTGTCAACGATTTCTTCCAACAGTTTCCAAGAAAATAACATTTTTTTTTTCATAATTTTCTTTATTTCAAATGTATTACAGATAAAAGAACAATTACTAGGTTTTATTCAGAACAATTCTTTGACAACCTTGCTATTTCTGGTCCCCTTTAGATTGTGTCGTTGGCTGCTGACTCAAGAACCAAATGTCGTCTGAAAAAGTCTACACGTTTTCAATCTGATTTAAATATGGAGCTCAATTTCGTTTCGTTTGTTAATACTTTCGATGGCCCCCGCCCCATGTTATGTAGTAAGATAAATAAAACGAAATTTGAACCATAAAAAATACACGAAATTGTCAATTCACTATTACACTTGCAATGTGGTGAAGACTGTTCCTGATGAGCGTGACCAGAACTATTAATGTCTAATAGATTTACTGAATTGCTGAGAAACTGGCTTTAACTGATCACAATGTTTAAAAAAAAAAGAAAGGTAGATCTATGTCATGATTGTGCTAACCAATATAATTTATAAAGAAATTCCTTATGATACAAAATAAAATTATTGCGTTTGTTCTTGGCTGGATATAAAGAATTTAATGCGAGTTAGCATAAAATAATTATAGCAGATTGTGGCATCTATTCCATATGATACCTTTAGAATTAATTTCCACACAGGTTGCCAGGCAGCCACCCATCACCAGCTTTGTCCTCCATGCGACTTTCAAAAATCTCATCGTCCCTTCTGTATCACAACTCAATATGTTTCTTCAAATACTCTCAGCAAATTAGGTAATACAATTACCTATTCAAATAACTGAAATATGACAAATGTTTTTATATGGTTCTTTAAATAATCCAAGTATTTTTTTTTTTTTTTAAAATCACTCTGACACCGACTGTTGCCTGGAGCTTATTTATAAGGGTAATAATTGAAGGCTTGTATACAGAAATATCGTACAGATGAATTGAGCAAAAGATGGATAAATGGGCAAAACAGACAGACAGACAGGGATGATGACAAAATACCACCATTTATTATGAATACATGTATATGTAAATTGATAGCCCTCCACCCAATAATCAGAATGTATAACACACCCTTTAATCTCCATATTAGCAGGTTACCTGTTAATATAAACAGGTTAATTATACAAATAAAAACCAAAAAGAAATGGCAAAAATAGCTTGTCTGAAATTTTCAGCACATATTGGCCATTCAAAAAAGATCGTCAGATTTGCTTAAAAGACTTACAAAATTTTAAGGAATTCCATTCCTGCATAAAAGTAAAATGATAATCACCACAATACTTTACCAATAATATAATTTCGGCAAGCCTGTAGACATGGCTAACCAGGCAATTTGGGATTGTGTGAAATATACGGACTTAGGTTTGTATTTCTGAGCAAAGTTACCAAATACGAATAAAGGTTTCTAAAAGTCCTTCACACATAATTAACTCATTTGATTCACTAATATATCTGGGACAGCTTCCTACCCTAGAATGGCTTCTTCAATTGGGTGGTAAATCATGAAACCAATAAAATACTAAAATGAATATAATAAGTACTTGTATATTATTTTGAACATTATAATGTAATAGCATTTCAATATCAAATTGTAGGAGGACACATTCTCTTAGTTTTCCACACTCAACTGTCATTACCTTCCATTCATCTTGTCGTGGTCATGAAAAAAAGATAGGTTGTCAGGCAACAAAACATACGCCCACAACAGCTAAATCGTCCGAGCGGTCAACAAGGGTTGTCACATATATATTCTTTTGTAGGTAATTCGGGGCATTTAATAGACAATTTCATACAGATGACATTATAAGGGCCTTAACAATCTACAGAAATTGTTGAAATTCGACTGGCTTTTTTTTCGTTTTGCTAATTCAAATAATGCATATAAAACAAGGGCCATAACTCTATAGAGAGAGAGAGAAATGGGGTTTTACTCCACTCAACACTAACTAGGTCATTACAGGACTAACATATGGTTGAATTTTATTTCAATAATTCGCTTGCGCGTAGGGGTCTTTAGCAGTGGTAGGACCCGGAGAAAACCCACAAGGTTGGACAGGCAACCCTACTCCTTGTCACGTACAACCGAGGATTCGAAACCACGACAGTTGACTCAATGACAGGCCTTATGATACAGCACGCACGTCCTAACCATTCGGCCATCCAACCCCCTAACTCTATAGAAGTAATGGTCGGAAATTGCTGAAATTCAATAGGCTTCTTCATTTCACTAATATAAATGATGCATATGAATTCCATACAGACTGGAGGATAACTTTTGTTGTTCGAGCGTTCACATGATTCAACAAAGTGAAACAAGTGCCATAACTCTAGATGTAATAGACGGAAATGGCTGAAATTCAATGGGATTCTTCATTTTACTAATTTGAACAATACATATAAATTTCATACAGATCGTATGATAACTTTTGTCGTAAAGCATTCACAAGGTGCAACAAAGTGAAACAAGGGTCATAACTCATGGCGTAATTAACGGAAATTGCTGAAATTCAATAGGCTTCTTCGTTTTACTAATTCAAATGACGCATATAAATTTCATACAGATCGGATGATAACTGTTGTCATTAGAGCGTTCACAAGATTCAACAAAGTGAAACAAGGGCCATAACTCTAGATGTAATGAACGATATATATATAAATTTCATACAGATCGGATGATAACTTTTGTCGTTAGAGCATTCATACGGTGCAACAAAGTGAAACAAAGGCTTCTTCATCTCACTAATGTAAACAACATATTATATTAATTTCAAAACAATCAGATGATAAATGTAGTCTATAGAGTGTTCACAAGAAATTGTGGACGATGGACTGACAGGAGCAACGGCAATATACGACCATATTTCCATGTGGGCATATAAAAAACTAAAAGTTAAGTGGGAACATTATATAGCCATGTCATACATAAAGATAACCAATCTCTTTGCCATAATTATGTAGATAGATTATTAATTTATTAACATTGATCATATACCCAGATCACAGACATTATATTTTTATTTACATCTCAAAACTAATAATAACATCATTAAACTGTATGTACAGGCCTGCTGTCTAAACCATCAGGTCGGTATAATGGGTGCCATATTGAAAAACCTATTTTTAAAATCGAAATTGCATATGCATTTCAACAATTGTCACTAAGATCAAGTCAAAACTTCTAATTTTGTATCTTTTTAACACATCATATCTGTCTAGATGCTTCACTGCATTGAATTTTTTGGATGGTAGTTTGTCATTTACAGATCTGGTATTGTGAATACTAAATACAATGTTCTAGCCAATAATCGCTCTGACTGGTTAGCAGGGGGATTTATTATATCCTTACATAGCTTTATGCTTTTGGAGCTACTCTAGGAATAATAACAACCGCATTATCTTATAGGAATCACTCAAAGAGTAATGCACTGGCCAGAGAGATATGATGTGTTTCTGAGATTGGCAACAAAGAGTATATGGAGATCAGCGATAGAAACAAACACACCAAGATATGTTATCAACAGATGCACTTCCCTCATACTTAAATCATATACTTCTCATTTCTCTTTCCATCTCGTATCACATAATATATAGATAATATCTTCAATAACAACATACAAATATTATAATATAATAATAAAAACAATGCCATACATAGAAATCATATTAAAGTTTACCCCAAAGCCCCAGAGAATGGAAATTTAGGAATTTAAATCTGAATTTGAAATAATTCTATAATTTTAAATATATTTAACCAACAATGTCTACATCTTGTCTTTACATAGATCTTGAATTTTCATTTAGCCAATCAATCTGTTGTAGAAATTGGTTGAATTTGTGATTTTGAAACTAAAAAGATCTGGAAATCACCAAAGTGTAAATGATTACTTTTGTTCACACTTTATCTGACTAAGGCATCAAATTTCAAGAAAATATGAAAATATCCAAATTCATCCAGAGATATTTTCTCTGGGACTTATGTGATCAACTGTTGCGTAACATCTATATCAGAACTCTGAAACATTACCACTTTCTTGCTACAATATAATATCATTTTTTTCCCAATAATATAGAGGGCAGAACCTAAAGAAAACCCATGTAGTTAGTAGGACATCCTTACCATTTGTCACATAAAAGCATGGGATGGAAATCACACCACTTGCATAGACAACAGACCTAATGATCTAAAGCACATGTATCAGACCATTCAGTCTCTCAACTGCCCCCCTCTCTCTTCTACAAACAATACTGTAGAATGTATTTAAAGTTCTGACACTGATGATGAAAAACATTACATGTATATAGATTTAGAACATTTCAATATATATATATATACATACGTATACATAGAAGGTAGATAAATGAAACTGATTAAGTATTTTTCCTTTAAATTTTACACAATTGCCTTGTCACCAAGAAACCTTTTATACATTTTTTACTTTACATAATGCCATACTGAAACCATACTGCCTCTGAGTACTGTTCGACTGAGCAGATGTAAGACTTCATACATGTAAATCGAACATTTTATTATACAACTCTATTAAACTACTACGTAGTGCCTGGTTAATCTGGCCTTGTAACTGGGTTGAAGGAATTATTCAGCCAGAATAAAAATAGTATGTCTCAAATCTCGTATCTAATGTGCAAATTGCTTGAATTCTATGGTGAGATCTTAAATTATTTGACTCATTTAACGTGAATAAATACAATGTTTGTTTACTATAGCTTCAAACAGCATATCTAAGAAATCTGAATAACTTTGCTAGTTACCCAAAATGCAACAGGCTTTATAATAGCAGCATCTATAAGGGATGCTCTAGTCTCTGCTATAAACTTGTTGGACTTATCTGTGCCGTTTCAGTGTTCATCAACGGTGTTTTTTCCTCATCCACATACTTTATAGAGTTAATTTCATAATTGCTGTTGCGAAACTTCAATGTTTGATTCAACGCAGCTTGGTCCAGCTTAATACTATTGTGTCGACTGTTCTGTTTCGGTGGCAAATCATCAAAAGATGAGCTTTTCATTTTCAGGTCTCGAACAGCCTTGGGAGAAAAACCATCCGAGTTTTGAGAGCGACTTTCTTCTAATTCACTTTTGGATCTCGGTTTTGATTCAATCATGACATCAGAATTAAGAACTTCATCTGTAAGTGCTCGTTTCAGGCTGTTATCTAAACTGTTTAGATCTGTGATGTTCGCTGCACTATTATTTCGACTGAGGGAGGCATTCAAGGCTTGTTTCCATTCTTTAGAGAAGGCCTCTTCCTCTTTGAGTTTGGCTTGATCTGGTCGTATTTTCTTCATCATACTAGTAGTTCGTCGTGCTGCCAAATAATGAGCTCGACGGATGCGTATATACTGCATGTCAGTGACAGCTCTCAGAGAGAAATCAGGAATATACTTTTCGTTCTTGGCGTGATGGTACTCGGGGGCTCGATTGTCCTTCAACTCTGCAATTAGAAATAAATATTAAAAAAATATTACAAGCCATTTTACTAAGATCAACACAATTAAAATTTTTGCATCAACAAGAACATAACACCTCATATCAATTATATTTCAAACTAAATGACACTGAAACAGATTTGCAGGACCACGAGCGAACCTTTTAAAAGGACATTGCCAGATTTACAGTTATGCTTAATACAATCTAATTAATATCTTTATTTAATTTCATCTTTATGGTTTTAATTTTCTTTCTTACATGATATTTAACAAATATTCAGAGATGCTGCTAGAGTTTAGATGGCTAGTGGATGACGTCTTGGACTGATTGGAAAAAATGCTTTCACATAGGTTGTTTATACAGGTAGAACACAAGACAATGATAAAACTTGTCAGATGGCCCAAAATTAAGTGTGAGTTTTTTTATATGTTAGTGATATTTTCAAAACCAGTTATCAGGACAAACCTTGATAATAATGCAAATGATGAATACTGGGGGTTTTGGGGAGGGAATATTGGCAGGCAAAATACAAATCAACCGAAATATGCTTTTTAGGGAGCATTGAATCCTAAAGTTTTGTTTATTTCCCCCTGCCACTTATGAAATACTGTGCACTCCACACCTCCCTTTGTGTTCAGAAATCCTGCATATATATATATACTACTGATTGTGATCATTTTCAGTATTTACTTAAAATTCTTACAGTAAAATGACTTTCACTAATTTATTCTTTTATCAAATGGTATGGTAATTATGTCATTTGATCAGCAAATAAACAATGATCTGTGCATACATGTAGAATCCAGTGTTATCTAAATCTTTTTATATTATTATAACAATGGCATGGCTTTCAACTTCAAACTACTTGGTAAACATATCGTACAAATTACAATGCAACATTAATAATTAAAGAGATTGTTCAGCTGAAACTTCCATTGGTTGTCTTCTTCATTGATTCTATTAACTAAATTGATTAAAGTTACAACCCATTGTAATAATTGCCTATCGTAACAATAGGTCACTCGTAATGACTTTGTAAACATCCTGCTAAACAGCAACAGGATATACTGTTCACTGATGCTACTGATATAACAGTTCACATTTATATTAGGATTTGGTTTTCTTAAACAAATGCCAATATATGTTGTTAGGTCCCATTGATGCTGTTTATTCAATAGTTTATATTTCTTTAAAAACAAATTCTAATAAGTTATTACTAATATTCATAAAGTACAAAAAGTTTACAGGATTTGACAATTTGTAAACTTAGTTTATAGTCTTTGTGACACTGATGACAATCACAACTTAGCTCATATTAGCAAACTAGATGATCTTCATTTATAAAAAAAATTGTATTCATACCTACTGCCTTCTCCCCTCCCTATTTCTCAAACATAGTAAAAGTTGTTTAAAATCACTTATCTATATTTATGTGAATCCTGCATTTATTTCAGAGCAGATTTGTATGAATTTTTGCTCCATTTTTTTTTAAAATGGTGACTTTATCTGTCGTTACAGTACGTATTTGTGAGAAATTAAGTAAATACAATCGGACGTAAGAATAAATCAAGTTTATTTGTAACTAAAGATCGTCTAATTTGTACTATTCAATTATGGTGGTTGTTGCAAAGACTGTAGTCCTATTCAATATTACAAATTGTTGAAACATATACAAGTACCATGCCCATTGAACATTAAATTTGTGTCGAATTTCCGACTTAACTTCCATACAGATCAACTCTAATTTGCTGACTATTTAGATTAGTGTAGAATATGGATTATCTTCCAATTCAGATCAACTGTGATTAACATAGAATTCAGAACTAAACTGTTGCTAGATCACATCTGTTTCTTTCTTGAAGCAAAACATACATATGATGAGTTAATAAGCATATTTAAGCTTTGGCTTGTTTTCAAATCCATTACATCATACCCATGTCATACTCGAAATAAAATATTGTTTAAACCAACATGGATAGCATAGATGTGTGAATTTGTAATTGTCAGTCATTTATTGCCACTTTAAATAATAGCTGAACCAGTTCTCCACTTTGCTAAAACTCAGCACAATGTTGTTCAAGGCACTATTTTTTTTTTTACATCTATTAACAAACATGGAAAATGGGAAAATTTTAAAATGTGTTATTCGGCCTGTTGACATCAGAGCCAAAGTTGGCTTTATTGATGCAAACAAATATGTCAATTTTACAAAATGCTATCCTGTCAGATATTTGTAATAATTTCATGCTACAGACAGTTCTTGTTTTACAATATAAAGATGTACTAGGGTTTCAACGTCTTCACAAAGTCAAGATATTATGATGTCTGATACCTAGACTGTGTTAGTCGACTTTTATGTACCACTGAATCTATCTGAAGGCAGGTTATAATATACGGCACATAAATCTTACCAACTGCTCAACATTTTTAGGTGTGGTTCTAATTCTGAATTCTAGATTTTTCACTCAGAAAAGATAAATCCCATACTACAATAAAGTAGCTAATGTACGTTAGGTATCAGACATATGTTATATAATGACGGGGTTAGACCACAGACACTTGTCACTATAAATATTAAGACTGGTGTTAGTAAGTCATTATAAGCTGAACAAACAACACATTACAATCCATGGGAACCTTACAAAATTTTAGAGTTTACCAACTTTATTTGGCTTTTCATATGCAAGGTTTTTCTTAAAATGTTTGTAACTAGGAGTGTCTTTGCTTTATAAAGCTTAGGCTCCCACCAAGTCTAAATCCTATACTGGAGACCTGTCATAAAGGACAGTTATATTGGGCGTGACAAGCGTCTGTGGGTTTCACAAACAATCCATTTTTCAAGAGGATAAGTGGGCATTTATTACAGGTACATAACATTTGATTTGTATTGATATCTACCTTCACTACTTCTCTCTGTATTGCACACAAAATAAAAGTACATAAACCAATTTATTTTAGTTTCTAACATATCCAACCAACTCAAGGTATGAGTGTTATAGATGATAGACAAAACACAATTTCTAAAAAATGTTTCGAAGGACTATGTATCAAGTATGATTCTATTTTCATTATTCCTCTGGAATAATTGCTGTAACAATCTAAAGTCATGTTTTGTAACATGCCAGTCATCTATTAACTTCCATTTGTTGAAACCATACTCAACCATCTTCTTAATAGATTAATTCACAGGTGCAAGGGAGGTAACTATAATAACTACGTATTTGTATTATCCTAAAGTACTTCTAAACTAAATATAATAATTCAACAAAAAATTTCTATAGAACTACATGTTGATTAATAATTTATAGGAATAAAAAAGACATTCAAAGTCAAAGAATTTTCATAAATATTTAGCAAGTCACAAACGCAAGAAATAATATATCAAAATGATAAAGAAGCTCCACCTTGATTACATATCTTACCTCCCTTCAATAGAGAGTAGGGAATTGGTGGCACATGTGGCTCTTTTTTCTTTGCTAAATTTGTATTTTAAAATTCTATCAATTCTTTCAAACCTATTGAAGTTTATTTCTTTTTTTTCACCCTTTTTAAATATATCTAACTTACTTTTAAGAGTATCAACACCAAAGTAGGTAAACGGTCCAGCCTCAAATACCATCTGTTCTTTACCAATCAAAGCCTCAGCATGACCTGCAATTAAAAATACCATCCAGGTGTTAATAGATTAGCTGTGTCACAAAAAAATATTTCGAGTTATAGACATAATAAAACAAAACAGAAAAACTGAAAAGTTATACTACAGAAATTAAAATGTATGACTGTGTACAAATAGGTTGATCTGATAATTCAATCAGTAATGGTGCAAACTACATTCCATTAAAATGGAAGATAAAGTGGTCATTAATTTGGTTGTTTCATTTTTATTTTTTTTACTTTAACTGTTGAAAGCTGAAGACAAAATCAGTTGTATTTCATTAGTACACCGACGACACTCACTTCATAAAACAGATCAACATATCTTAACAAAGAGATCTGGTAATTTTAAATCAGTTGTGAACCAGGGATTATTTTAACTCGAGACTAGCAGTTTCTGACACAATTTCTATCTTTAATATTCTTGTGATCAACAGCCCCTGTTGTTTGTTATTATGTACAGTATTCATGCTGATGTGTGTAAAGCTGTTATTCAGTCATAAAAAAATATTTTAAGTTTTAATCTAAATTATTCTTCGAAGAAGACCAGGAAATTCTTCAGATGCATTTCCTTTGCTTTTCGGCATAACATTTCTTATTTGGTCACAGCCAGAAGCTAATTTTTCCACCAAAGACAAGTTTTGAACATTATTTTTTAACCATTGATTGTGATGAGGGAAAGGCAAGCTGGGGTATCATTTCAAAACAATTTTAAAACTAGACATCTTTCCACATACCTTGTAGAATGAGAACAAAGTAATCACATTCTTTTCCTTGTTTATAGATATAGTTTTTATCAGAAGGTGGATCTGTAGGATGGATATTGACAACAATATTCTGTCTTATCAAACGCTTTAAAACATTTCTAGATATCAGTTCGTCATTAAATGCATCAACAGCTGAAATAAACATAAACAATATAAATCAATCAATCATGTATGTCTATGACCACTTGGCCTTTTTCTGCAACATCTTTGTGGGGACCATGGTTGTATTAATGCACTGTTCGATATTCAGATCTAATATAATCTTTGAGTGGCATTTAGTGATTGAACATAGTATAACACAACACAGTTCTATGGATAACAATCACTATATTATATACACATTTGTAATTTGTATGCTTGATAACGACCAGTGAATTCTTGTCGAAACGTCGTGTGTATATAATATAGTGATTGCTATCCATAGAACTGTGTTGTGTTATATTCAGATCTCATACAAATTTGTTGCAGTGTATTATCAATCTCCCTTGAATGGATTGGAATGTGGTTTAAGATGCTCATCAAAGTTCAAAACAATACATTGGTCACTTTGAATCTGGCATGATTATTGTTTTTTCTATGGTCACATGTGCAATAATAGATGTATTTCTGCCTACTTTATATCAAATTCCAATGTGTATAGAAGTTTCATTAAAATAAATAAACATCAATCTAAATAAGCCGGTCTAGGACTTGATGTAAAACTTATTCCCCTTATCTTTTAAAGATAGGTTGCCAGGCAACAAAACATTCTGTCTGAGAAGTCCAATAACAATTAACATAACAACAAGCACATGAAAAGAACAACATAATTTTTTTTATTTTGATGAAAAATTAACAAGTAATTGTCATGCAAGATACACACACATTTTGCAAGAGATGGACAGAGAACAAGCTAAAAAGAAAACATGATTTTTCCTACAACCAGGGGCCATAATCAAGGAAGTTATGGTTCGATATGAGCCAATATCGAAAGAAACTGGGATCTTTGTGTTATAAACATACATTTCAAGTTTCATCAAAATCAGATAACAATTGTGACCTCTAAAATGTCCACAACCTTGGTATTACATACTTTTACACTATTTGCGTATGGGGAGCGACCATTTTGTCTGGCAGTTGCGGTCTGGTATTCACAAAATTCAAACTTAACAGTCATTATGGTGTAGCGGTAATATTTTTGAACTGTTTTTAAAATCGAATAAAAATTGTGACCTCTAGAGGGACCAATCGTCATTATGGTTTAGCGGTAATATTTTTTCGTGCAATCAGGGAGTAAAATCCATGAAGTTACGGTCCGATACATTCCAATATCAAAAGGAACCAAGATCTTTGGGAAATAAACCTATATTTCGTGTTTCTTCAAAAGCCAATAAAATTGTGACCTGTAGAGTGTCCACAAACAAATTGTGGACGGACAGACGTAAGTACGGACGGACAGGGACGAGATTCACATGAAAATATGGGCGTATAAAAATAAACACTTACTTGTAGTAAGGAACTGAAAGGTAGCTAGAGCAAGTTGTGGCGATATTCTTGGAGCACTCTCATCATCATTTTGATCAAACACGCTATAATCACGCTTTTCATGACGTCTTGGTGCCTTCTTCTTGTTATCAGCTAAAATTATAACATATATAACATACAGAGGAGTGAGTGGACCGACTGAGGAAGAGTCATACAGTAGTCTCAAGCGTAATCCATGTGTGTGTGCATGTGGGGGGGGGATGTTTTGATATCTTTTTTTTTCCTTTTTTTTTAAAACAGATTTATACCAATAGACAGTAGGATAGTTTACCTGTCCAGATGTTCATTTGTTTGGATAAAACTATTAACCTGGCCAGATTAACCTGGCATTCACAGTGGTCTCAATTTAAAGGTTTTACTGTAAACAAGGATCGAAATAACTCTAGTTGATCATTAGAAATAAACATAACTATAAATTGTCCTATTAATTCCAGTTCTAGACATGATTAAGGCTTAGATAACAGTCACAAGAAGGGAAACTGTATTGACGTCACTGCCTACCATTAGTCTACCAGTCCAGTTAAAACTGTATTGATTATTAACGTCAATAATTCTGTTTATTTGTCTGCTTCAATGGTGGAATTTCTTGTTTAGAAGATGGGTTGCCAGGCAATGAAGCATGTCCATGGTAGCAGTCAATAAAGTATGTCATATAGTAAATCTTTAGGTGAATAGAAGCAAAATCCTAATAAATAATGTATTATATCATTGGTGCGTTATAAGTATGACATAATCAAGAAAGGACAATAATTTTAAAAGTAATTATCGGATGATATGTTTTCTCTAATCAAATCTCTAAAATTCTTGCAGCAGTGAAGATACACGTGGTCTCTTACTAATATTTTAATGCAATGTTACAATTAACAATACAATAACTGCTGCACAAGAATGGTCTTTAATATTCTCTGTTTAAATTACATGTCAGTACTTTCTCATATTGATTGTTTATCTTTCTTTTTAAATTTCTTTTGAACATACATGTACCTGGATGAATCTTGCCCATTTTAATTAATTACATCTTTGATCTTTATGAATACCTCTAACCTTGCACAATTTGTAAGAGACAAGAAAACGCAATCGATCACCAGTTTTAAAGAAATCTAGGTGAAGTTTTTCTGCCCCTTTTCACATTTTGTTATTAAAGTTCAAGTATCCTTTCTAATTTTCTAAACAACAAGTCACTTTGACCTTGATCAATCAATATTTTCCAATTATTCCTTTTGGGTTTTTTTGTGCATTGGATGTTAAAAGTCATCTTTTAAATAAAAAAAAAAGTCTGTCTTACTATTTTAGATATATTACATGTAGGCCATAATGTTAGTTTGACATTCTCCAAAATCGATTTTGTTTCTATATTTTATGTTTTTTCCAAAACACTCTATAAAGCAAATATTGATTTGGGATAGTCTGGGCAATTACAATGTTCACACCAAGGCAAAACGAAGATTCTGGGAAACAATCATACCTAGCCTTGTGCATGATACCCATTCAAGTTGTGATGAATATCATGTGACTTTTTGAGGGAACTTTTAATTGACTGTTTAGGGCATTATAAAATTATTCAGCATTCATGTACTAGATCTAAACAGAGGTATAAATATTTACTCTCTGTAAATCTAAATGATTTTGAAAGCCATAAAAGGATGGTTGAGGACTAATTGAGTTGTTTCAAGTACCATTTAAAAATGTATAGTACCCTTGTGTTGACAGTACATAAACCCATAAATAAAGTAGACGAACGAAACAGCCTGTAGCATGCTAGAAAACTGTAAATACATGTTTACATGTTTGATTCTGTCAGTGTATTGAACCCTTCTGTCCTTGAATAGCATACTTGTTCCCTATATTTCAGTCTACTCAGTTGTTATTAGGTAGATTTTATTTACATACCAGACATATATACACTCTTCAACCAGTGGCTGCCAGGCAGGATACGCCCACATTTTCGAGAGATGGATAGAGAACAAGCTAACAAGAAAGTGATTTTTCCTACTATGTGTGAATATCGAAAGGATCTGAGATCTTTGTGTTATAAACTTACATTTCAAGTTTCAACAAAATCGGATAAAAATTGTGACCTCTATAGGGTCCACAACCTAGATATACCATTTTTTTTACGCTATTTGAGAACGAATGGCGGCCATTTTGTCTGTCAATTTTGGGTTGATTTTCATGAAATTCGAATTCAGTCCTCCTTAGGGTGTAACAGTGATATATTAATACAGTTTTTTAAATCGGATAGAAATTATGACCTCTATCGGGTCCACAAGCTAAAAACGCGATTTTTTGTACAATCAGGGGCCATAACTCAGGAAGTTACGGTCCGATATGCGCCAATATCGAAAGGAACCGAGATCTTTGGGTTATAAACTTACATTTCAAGTTTCAACAAAATCGGATAAAAATTGTGACGTCTATAGGGTCCACGACCTTGATATACCATATTTTTATGCTACATGTATTTGAGAACGAACGGCGGCCATTTTGTCTGTCAATTTTGGGCCGATTTTCACAAAATTCGAACACAGCCATCCTTAGGGTATAACGGTGATATAATAATACGTTTTTTTTAAATCGGATAAAAATTATGACCTCTATAGGGTCCACAAGCTAAAAACGTGATTTTTCGTACAATCAGGGGTCATAATTCAGGAAGTTACGGTCCGATATGCGCGAATATCGAAAGGAACCGAGATCTTTGGGTTATAAATTTACATTTCAAGTTTCAACAAAATCGGATAAAAATTGTGACCTCTATAGGGTCCACAACCTTGATATACCATATTTTTTACGCTATTTGAGAACGAACGGCGGCCATTTTGTCTGTCAATTTTGAGCCGATTGTCACGAAATTCGACCTCAGCTGTCCTTAGGGTGTAACGGTGATATAATAATACGTTTTTTTTAAATTGGATAAAAATTATGACCTCTATAGGGTCCACAAGCAAAAAATGCGATTTTTCGTACAATCAGGGTCAGGGGCCATAATTCAGGAAGTTACGGTACGATATGCGCGAATATCAAAAGGAACCGAGATCTTCGGGTTATAAACTTACATTTCAAGGATCAACAAAATCGGATAAAAATTGTGACCTCTATAGGGTCCACACGCTAAAAACGTGATTTTTCGTACAAACATGGGCCATAATCCATGAAGTTTCGATCCGATACATGCCAATATCGAAAGCAGCCGAGATCTTTTGGAGATAAACCTATATTTCAAGTTTCCTCAAAATCGGATAAGAATTGTGACCTCTAGAGTGTCCACAAACAAATTGTGGACGGACGGATGGACGGACGTACAGGTGCGACGGCATAATACGTCCACATGAAAATGTGGGCGTATAAAAATTGTGATCTCTATAGGGTCCACAACCATGATAAACCATATTCTTACACTATTTGAGAAGGAACGGCGGCCATTTTGTCTGTCAATTTTGGACCGATTTTTTACGAAATTTGAACTCTGATATGGTCTGATATGCGCGAATATCGAAAGGAACCGAGATCTTTGGGTTATAAACTTACATTTAAAGTTTCAACAAAATCGGATAAAAATTGTGACCTCTATAGGGTCCACAAGCTAAAAACGTGATTTTTCGTACAAACAGGGGCCATAATCCATGAAGTTTCGATCCGATACATGCCAATATCGAAAGTAGCCGAGATCTTTAGGAGATAAACCTATATTTCAAGTTTCGTCAAAATCGGATAAGAATTGTGACCTCTAGAGTGTCCACAAACAAATTGTGGACGGACAGGGGCGACGGCATAATACGTCCACATGAAAATGTGGGCGTATAAAAAAAGTAGGGGATATTCAGAAACAATACAAAACTGCGGAAATGCACTGCTGTTTTTATTAGAGGTATAACCAGTGTATGTTAATAACAGGCCAATTGCCTACACATGAACATAAACAGTTCATATGGGCGGCTTATCTGACGGACCCATTTCACTCGCAAAGAGATACACCGTCAAATGTGAAAATGGACGTTTTTGATTTCTGTCTTAATAATGAGTAATTGCTCCACCAATTCTCAGACATTCAGCAATTCCGTGGCATGCGCCTATTTAACAGTCCAATCACGATTTGGGGCAATCTGACCCACTCCTCTTGCAGTACCATGGCCAATTCTTGCAGTGTTGTCGGTTGACGTTGACGAACACATCTCCCGATCAAATTAAACGTAACACACTAAAGCAAAGATATGCTAAACAGTAAATGCTAAGCAGTTTTCATCAACCCTTCCTTGAAGTGTCAAATTTGACAATGAACCCCTCCCACGTGTATGGCGCTATTGCGTGTCGCATGCGCAGCTCAGTGGTTCTGTTGGGGCAATAAGTTCTTTATCTGTGAACATACTCTCAAAGCATGTCAAGTGTCCATGACTATTTACCATATCACAACCTGCATAGGTATTTCAATTTCAATATCCCCTACTTTTTTTTGAAGAGTATATTATGTTGTTTAATATGGTCAATGTACCACACAATGTAGAATTAATCTATATATATATATGTATACCTACCACAAATATTCTACTACTAAACAGGCATTATGTAAGACCTTAATCTGCCTATTGCAGGTATTTCTTTGGGCTTTAAATGTTATGTAAATTATTAATTAGACATTTATTCACATGACAAGACCATAATCAACTCTTGATGTCATCAGATGCCTCCGATTTTAAATAGTTAGAAAGGTTCGGCTATTCTTAAAATGATTTAATTTAAAAATGGAGAAGCGAGGCCAAGACACGAATGACCAGTACGGTATTTACGATCAATGCACACATCTTGTCAAAACTACAACCATTGATAACTTTGCTAAAAATAAAGTAATTTGAATGAATTTTTCAATATATTCATTTTGCATTATCTATTTTTGAAATATTATAGCGAGAACACACAGCCCTTTATCTAAATCTTACATAATGCCCCTTTAATTAATATGATTTTAATTGTCTGTTGAAATTCAAGTTTATGTACTAAACATTAGTTACCACCCGTGGCAAAATTCTCCGAAAAACTACCACTATTTACTAATAATCAGTTGAATCATTCTGATAATATCCCTGGCATCATCTTTTGATGACAGGGACGAAACAAGCCAACAGTGAGGCTGATGTCCCCCACCGAAATCCCAAAATAAATAGATGACACATGACATATTAATTAATCGCATATTTATTTTTTTTGAACAGAATCAAGCAATCAAACTGATTATCAACTAAACACTAAGTTCCATCACTCTCTATCGATAGAATCAAAGTTATCTTGTCCCTAAGCATCGACCAAGAAATCCTCCTAATGAACATCTACATCAAGTTTAAAATTCTGCCTCAATTAAAAGCAGGGTTGTTATGTTCCAAAGTCTTGACCAATCAAATTGCTTATCGCTCCTTAGCCTAAGCAGAAAATTCTCATCAAACTTAGTCAAGGTAATGATATACATGTAATCATATCAAAGTTATATTGCTCCAAAGCATCAACCAATCAGATTGCTTATCTCTGCTTTCCATAAGCAGACAATGTTCATCATCGAACCCCACCAAGGCATTCACCTAATGAACGCCTAGATCAAGTTTGAACATTCTACCTCAATTAGGAGAGTTATTGCTATCACTCTGCTTAACCCCTGCAGAAAATGTTCATTATCGAACTTAGTCAAGGTATTGATGTGACAATACTATGCACCAAGTGTCATGACTCTCACTGAAGTTATCGTGTCCCAAAGCATCAACCAATCAAATTGCTTATCTCTGCTTACCCTAAGCAGAAAATTCTCATCTTCGAACTCCATCAAGGAATTCACCTAATAAACACCTACACCAAGCATGAACATTCTAGCTCAATTAGAAGGAGAGTTATTGTTTAGGGAGTCAGCGTCTTACTAACTCTGCCATTGTGGCTACTTGTTGGGCCCATGGATTTTAAATAACAATGTTGGTTCCTTTTCTTACTATTTTAAATCAATTTTTTAAATAAAGTTATGATGAGTGACTTACAAAGAATATCTGTCTCGTCAACTATCTCTGACTGTAGAATTTCTTCAATCACATCCTCAAGAGTCACAACTCCAGTAATCTCATAATAAGGGTCACACTCAGAATCGTTATGTAAAAGTTGAACTATAGCCATGTGAGAATTTCCTGAAATTAACAAGAAAAACATTCATTTAATTTATTGTAAAACATATATATCTTTAAGCTGAGGCAAATAAATCAATAATTAGGGCATTTAATCAGAATATTCTATTTCTAATTTGAAGAGGGGAACAGAATCTTCTTTGGTTGGCGTGTTTGGGTGACAACAGTGATTTTACTATAAAAGATATACATGTATGTTTCTGTACCAGGGTTATGAATTCTCACATTACTGTATCATCATTATTCAATCTGGTATTGTGATATTCACGAAAACCTAAAGTATTTGGATTTTATTAACACCGGCATGCAAAATTTAAGATCCGAAAATTCAACAGTGTTGTAAAAACTGTACAGAAACTTGTTTTAATATATTTAACCATCCCACATTCAAATTTTAGCAATAAAATCTACATTGACGAAACTATCACATATTTTATTTTATAAATATTAAACTGTATTCTTTAAATTATTTGACCTCATGTAAATATGGGTAACAGCTTACATGTTGTCAATAATTTCTGTTGTACTACATTTATGATGTATAAAACCATACTTAAATACGAGCAAGGAATAATAAAATTTGTAAGAATTCTAAAGGAGTAAAAACAAATTTTGAATTGAACTGAATGTACAAAGACTTAAAATATTGAAATCATAAAATCAGCATTCGATGTGATCATTGATCAAGAATAATTATACAGTAGACTTTGATTTTAAAAGTAAAAGGTACAAGACAAGATGAGATAAAGTAAAGATTGTTTAAGATAATAGCTGTGTTTACACTTAACCACGATAAACACTGTTTTAAGAACTGTTCTCGGCCACAATTAAATTAAGGAAATTGCACTGTTTACATTGCTATATGTCAACCATTCTCGGAACCGGGCCTGGCACACTAAATGTGGAACTCTTCACAGAAAAGTTAATTTCAGTCATGAGGACAAGGGTCAACCTTAATATTAACACATATGATTCTCAGTACGACACGGTTATGTCTGATCCATTTACACAACAAAAACATTAACTGTTTCGTTCTCTGCCGTTCCTGGCCAACTTAAAATTAGTGAACACTCCAATCTGAATTTTGTTTTACTACAATGACAGCTGACATATTTACTTTGAAGAAGACAGTGCTCATATATTAATGTCCAACCAAACGGTCAATACTGGTTAACAGGGTTTTTGTGGTGAATTTTGGAAACATACTTCTTAAGAAATAAATGAAAAAAAATATTCTAGTCTGATTTTAATAAGATTAATGACTTTTTCTCTTTAATTTCAGGTACAAATATTTAGCAGCCTCTGATCATTCATCATTTGAGTGTTTTTGAATTCCTTGCAAACTACAATATTATGAAATTTGAATCTTCAAAAGGAACATACCAGTATGTCCAAAAAGGGTTCAATTCCATTCAGTATTACGAAGATATGATATGATGAATGGAAAACTTTTTAACAATCAGCAGCCTTTCCAGATGATATAAACGGCGGAACTACCTATAATCTTTTAAAGGGCCTCTTTTTAATCTATCAGAATCCAAGCTGGAAGATTGTAAACATGTAACGACAGCTTTCATTTTTAAACTATCAATTTGAGTACATATTTGCGTTGATAAAGGTGCAAGAAATTAGATAATGTAAAATCAATACAATTGACAATTCACAGCTTTAAAATGATATCAAAACATAACTCAAAAGAGGCCTTTATTTATGTCAGTTTAATGCACTGTTGCACTCAAGTTTCTTCAGTTTACAATTTATGCTAATTCTTTGAGTCCTCAAGCAAAATAATTACAATAAGATTTCAAAATTAGGTCCCAGTCTATTGAATAAATATAAACTCTAAATTTTGAACAAATAAATATATTAGAATAAATTAAAAAGGTATTAAATATTGCTTAGGTAATGTTTCATGTTTCAAAATAGAAGCAATATTTGTTTACCATTTTAAATTAGGGAACTATTTGTTTTGTAAAGACGATTGTTATTATGTAATTCAGAACATTTGAGTATAAAAAGACCCTTCTGAAGAATGAGCTGACTTGAACAAAAAGATAGTACAATCACAATATTTGTGTAAGTAACAGAGATAGAGACTGTGTGAAATAGACACCAATGTAAACTTAAATTTGCAATGTTAGAATTGATCGAATTGAATAATTTTTGGACCAAACTGTTTTTCATGTTATATACATTTGATTCTGTATGGTATTTAAAGGCAATGTAATATTAACTGACTAATTTTATATATGTACTTCAATTATTTTGTGTTGCAACTTGTGCTTAAATGTCTGTCTTTAATGTAGGTCATATTTTAGATATAGATCTTGGGGTTTAATAAAGGGTATTGCACTTTATTTCTCCTCCTATAATATTCTGATTTATTATGATTGCTGGTTGTTCTTAAAAAAGTGATATATAGTAACCAAGTTTTTCTATTATATACATGTACATATGTATGTTGCTTTAACAAAACAAAGAAAAACAATAATGTTTTTTTTCTGTTTACTCATGTAGAAAGAAACTGTGAACCCTATGCACTACCTGTACAAAAGATGCAAGTTATTTTTAAAGTCGACATTACCAACTTGTAATATATTTACCGTTTTTGTGCATGTGTTATGTCCTTATTATATGTACAAGTTCACTTATGTTGTTTTCTTATAATCTTTGAATGGCATTTGTGTTATGTTATTTTGTTTTCTTGTTTATTGACCTGATAGTTTGTGTGTGTGTCAGAATGAGGAAATGACCACTTCACCTTTACTCTGTCATACTGCCTACTTTAATCGGGTATTAACCAATGTCACCAGTATATAGACTTGTATCTATTTTCGTTCATTAGGTTATTTTAGTAACATAAGTAATCTGCTACTAATGAGGTCCACATTTAGATGTATGTTAATTTTACCTTCCTTACAAAAAAAAAACCAATTATAACCATTTGACCTTTCATGATCAAGTAAGGATTAGGAACAACTTAATTTACCAATACATATAATCCTCTTACTACACAAATATCTACCAGGTTTTTGCGCAATAACAAAGAAAGGTAACAGGATGGATATATACCCAACATGATCAAGTAAGAGTTAGGAACAATGGAGGGGGTGAACTTTGAGTCTCAGAAGTTAATGTTCTCACATAGGACCATTTTTAGTCTTGAATTTATGTCCGTTTTTCAAAAATGCTCTTGCTTCCAAAAACCCCCTAACCTCCTAGAGTGGGATTGACTTACATGGTCAGGCTTCAGGGCCCCTGACTCTCAGTCCTTCCCTGGAATAACGTAATTCGTCGGTAGGCAGACGAAGTGACTTATCGTCAATAGGTACGGTAGGAAGATAAGGCTGACCTTAAAAATATCTTTGTTTCGCCAAACCCGACCCACAATCGAGGAGAAGGGTCGGTAGGTCGGGGTTTTTTTTCAGATTTTTTTTTAAAGAGCTAATTTGACAGCTTGATAATTTTCTGGGGGGGGGGGGGAAACATTCGTCTTTTTTTATTGTCAAACAAATCAATGAGTATGACATCGGGATTTTTCGTGATGCACGACTCCGAGACTCGCACACGATTTGCCACGAACTCTAAGTGTGAAACCCCTTCAACACGTTTTTAACGATCGTGCGGGTTGTGCCTTCATTTTTCTCGAAAACGGATATTGAAAATATCTTCGTCATTTTTAAAACGACGCCCCACAGACATAGAGGCAGAATCATTTCGTGGGAATAGACGTGCTTTCGTCTGCAACCATTTTGTTGAGAAGCGACACCTATAACGCTTTCGTCTTGATCAACCAGTTTCAATAATGAATCAAACTATAGCCATAGTAAAGGGAAATAACTCTCGTGATATATTTCAGGTTGACACACAAAATAAAATAAAAAGATCGCGGAAAAGTGCAATAAAATAATTTAAGTCGGGGGTGGTTTTAGTTAGTCGGTCGCGTTAGGCGAAACAAAGATATTTTTAAGGTCAGCCTAAGTCACTTCGTCTGCCTACCGACGAATTCACCAATATAACTATATCCTATTACTACACAAAATATCTAGTAGATTATTGTGCAATACCTAAGAAAAGAAAAAAGATAGGTTGAGAGGCAACATAATATACCACCACTAGCTAAGTCGTCCCAGCAGTAAATGGGAAAAAAATCTCTATGCAGTTTATAATTGGTGCATTCAAAAGATTTAATGATTTAATCAAGGGTGACAAGTCCAAGAGAAATTATTGTAATTATTATTCATTGTAATAAATTTAAAGTAATCAGACGATGACTATTGCCATTATTACATTCACATATTTAAACTATAGAAAGTGAGCATGGGCTACAACTCTTGAAGTAACTAATGGAATTGTTGAAAGTCAGTCATTTTTACAACGCATACATGTAAGATCGGACAATAACGTCTGTGTAGAGAGCCTTCTCATGAAGTAATTAACAGAAATTGTGGGTGTCATTCAGGGGAGACTACAAAATGCGGTCATATAAATATAATAATAAAAAAAGAATACAAGTTAAACATCTTGTCAATATCTGTCTTCATTAGCCCAGTCGGAGCAGAACAGTAAGACGTTAAACCCCATTTCATTTTATTTCATTTCTTTAATTCTTGTCAATACTTTTACATGTCTTTTTAGGATCTGCTTTTCCATCCATACAAAGGACTATGCACTTTTCTGTTTAGTCCAATAGTGGTGTGTCAGAGATATAAATAACAAGAGAGAGATCTACATGTAGTTTAAAACTGGGTTTTCACCTTAAAAGTTAAGGAATTCTACATGTAAATAACAAAACTACACTTTAGCTAAAAGTATGTGATACTGATGCAAACAGCCCATACCATTGTCTGTAAGTCATTGTTAATTAATGAGAGTCTGTGTAATTAAAAAGCGTTATTGATTAATGAATGTCCTCTTTGTGAACCGGATTATTGACATTTCACATTACCAGCTCGATTTTTTGGAATCCAATATCAATATAAGATTGATATGTAGATTCAAAGTTTTTAACCCAATGACGTAAGTGGATGTCAGATCTCCAACTCTTTAAATTGTATATAACCACTGTCAAAGAGAATATAAGATTGATATATAGATTCTAAGTTTTTAACCCAATGACGTAACTATACGTCATATGGCCCTGTCCAACTCTATAAATTGTATACACGTATAACCTCGACATTGTGAAGGGCAAATGGTTAAACATAGCCTACATTAAGCAAGAGCTAAATCTATATATTGCAGGTCTTTCTTTAGGCCTGAAATGTTATCTAAATTATTAATTAGACATTAATTCACCTATCCAGACCATAATCAACTCTAGATGGCATCGCTAGCCTGCGATCTTTAGTGGATTATGAGCTGATTTACTGCATAACTTTCCTTCACAGCTTAACGATTAAGTGGATAATCAAGACTATGCTGTTTATCGTACTGACTTCAGTAATCATGATCGAGGCTAGGAGGAAATTTCAATCGCTTAGTTCTCGGTTCATTGTGGATCAATTTGAATGAAATTTTCAGTAAATTGCCTTTACATTATCTAGTTTTTAACTATTATAGTGAGAACTGCCAACTCGTTACCGAATCTCCCATAATGTATCTTTAATATAAGGTCTCTGGTGCATAGTTTCGTATTAATCTCCCTGTAGTTCATAGAATGAGCAATTCTTATATCCATGTAATCAAAAATAAAATCTGGAATCGGCACATAAAGATGTGTTCAAATAACATCAAAGTTAAGCCTGATTTTCTAATCAGTAGGTTATGTAAGAAACAATATGTAAGTAAAGTAAATCATACATTTGTATGTAACTCCATTACCAATTTAATACAAACTGTCTCTATAGACTTTCCTGTGTAAACCTAGTAGATAAAATCAATGCCTAATTTCTCTTGGACCAATCTTTTTTAAACAAAATATTGATCAGTGTCAATGTGTATCAATTTAACAATGGCCGCACTGCGGCTAACATTATATTTGCTAACTCGTCTGGTAGTGTACCTTAGCGGTGCTGAAACCTTGGGATATACTTCACTATCTTTTTATTGAACAATTTTTTTTCTAGAAAGATCTAAATCAAGAATAGAAAGAGTTCCACATATTTACATACGTAGATTCTAAATCAAGATGGGACTTCCATCGTTTTGTGTCTCTGATATAAACATTCAGGCTTTGTAGCTACATGTACAGGTGGTTTTTTTTTCTAAGTTTTGTTTTGTTGGGGTTTTTTGCTTGATAAAGTGGGATCTTCAACGAATTGTCGGTTTCATTAAAATAGTGATTGTGTTCCATATTATGTTCTTGTGTTTATTAAGTTTTGTTTGTTGATATTTTAACAAGCCAACAGTGAGGCTGATGTCCCCCGCCGAAATCCCAAAATAAATAGATGACACATATTAATTAATCGCACATTTATTTTTTTCAAAAGTATTGAGCAATCAAACTATAAACTAAGTTTCATCACTCTCTATCAGATAGAATCAAGATTATCCTGTCCCAAGGCATCGACCAATGAAATTGATTAGCTCTGCCTAGCTTCAGCAAGAAATATTAATCATTGAACTCAGTCAAGACATTCACCTAATGAACATCTACATCAAGTTTAAATATTCTACCTCAATTAAAAGCAGAGTTGTTATGTTCCAAAGTTTTGACCAATCAAATTGCTTATCGCTCCTTAGCCTAAGCAGAAAACTCTCCCCATCGAACATAGTCAAGGTAATGATATAATGAATCTATATTCGAAGTTTCATCGTTCTTGCTTCATTATAACCAAAGTTATCGTGACCCAAAGCATCAACCAATAAGATTGCTTATCTCTGCTTACTCTAAACAGACAATGTTCATCATCGAACTCCATCAAGGCATTCACCTAATGAACATGTACACCAAGTTTGAACATTCTACCTCAATTAGAAGAGAGTTATTGTGTTTGTTTATCGCTCTGCTTACCCTCGACAGAAAATGTTCATTGTCGAACTTAGTCAAGGTATTGATGTTATAAAGCTATACACCAAGTGTCCTCGCTCTCAATTAGAACTAAAGTTATCGTGTCCCAAAGCATCAACCAATCAAATGGCTTATCTCTGCTTACCCTAAGCAGAAAATTCTCATCTTCGAAATCCATCAAGGCATTCACCTAATAAACACTACACCAAGTTTGAACATTCTAGCTCACCGAGGCAAAGAGATATTGTGTTCCAAAGTCTCGGCCAATCAAATCAATTGCTTATCGCCTTGCTTACCCTGGGCAGAAAATGCTCATGATCGAACTTAGTCAAGGTATTAATGTAATGAAACTATACACCAAGTTTCACCACTCTCACTTAATTAGAACTAAAGTTATCGTGTCCCAAAGCATTAACCAATCAAATTGTTTATCTCTGCTTACCCTAAGCAGAAAATGCTCATCTTCGAACTCTATCAAGGCATTGACCTAATAAACACCTACACCAAGTTTGAACATTCTAGCTCAATTAGAAAGAGAGTTATTGTGTCCCAAAAAGTGTGACGGACAGACGGACGAACCCATAATAGCCCCTGCTTTCTTCGAGATTCCATAAACCCTTTTATCATTTACTTATAGAATATCCGTTACCAGTTACCATTAAAAATTAGTCAAGGTATTACTGTAATGAAACTATACACCAAGTTTCATCAATCTCACTTAATTAGAACTAAAGTTATCGTGTCCCAAAGCATCAACCAATCAAATTGCTTATCTCTGCTTACCCTAAGCGGAAAATGCTCATCTTCGAACTCCATCAAGGCATTGACCTAATCAACACATACACCAAGTTTGAACATTCTAGCTCAATTAGGAAGAGAGTTATCGTG